TCCAGAAAGGATTATGTGTTTATGAAACACATGTGAATGAAATTAAATTATATTCCAGTTATAAATGTGCTTCTGATTACAGATAGCCTGGGATTACAAAGATTTGTATTTTAAAGAAAACCAGTTCGAAGGGAGCATAATTTGCTTTTTGGGTTAAAAGAATTTCTTAATATGAAATTCGAAGAGTATGACAATTAGATTAGACTGCAGAAGTTGAAATCTACACGCTAATACACACTATACTCATAGTCACCAGTGCTGATGTTGTTAACATTATTCATTTGAGAATAAAGTATAACAATAACAAAAATTTGAACGGTTTGATGTGATCTGAGCTAACCGATCTTTAGATTTAATCACCATTGGTACTGATATTTATGATAATGCTTTTTTCCTCAGTTGGTCAGAACAAACGTGGCAGACTTGTTACTTACTTGTTCAGATGGCAATATACGGTGAAAATTCTAATTTGGGTCATATTCCAAGACGTAGGCTAGAATCTGTGATTGCGAAGTACAGTAAATATCCACACCGGTGCGGTGACTGACTGCCACACATACTCTTCAGAACATTAGATTCATCCGCGCTGGAGCCGTGCCGACTCACAACCCACGCAAGCTAGATAATTCCGCACACAGCTGCAATTCCAGGTTTTCAAACAGAGATGGCGACAAAGAGGCAAAACTTATGGACTGCAGCTTTAAGCAATTATAGAGCTGTTCAAATCTATTATTTCCATCAAAGTAACCAACTCACACCAAAGCGTATCCAACATCCACAATGACTCAAAGGTGAACACAGGTGCCAAAAAACACATATCAATGAACAAATGCTACAATAATTAGACACCGGGAACGGCTTCAAAGTGCTTCCAGCTTTGCCTTGCCAACAGTTAGTGCCCAAAGATCAGAGAAAACCAAGGTCCTATGAGTCAGTTCATATTCAATTACAGGGTTTCTGCAGATTTCGTAAGGCTAAATAATAGGCCTCGTAAACAGAAATGTAACACTCTCAGAAATGTTTCATTATATTGTTACTATTAAATATAAATGGCTTGGAAGTACACATATGGTAACGTAAAAGATTACAAACATTCATTTCCATGCTACAAAATAAGAGGTACAAACCTCCTCTAACCAACAATCAGAATGTGACTATACTGTATGTGCTCTAAAATGCTGCTATGACTGTTTAAACAGAACAAACGGAGGTGACGACAATAATAAAGCTTCTCTGATGGCAATCTGACATACCCTCCCACTTGTGTGACAGTACACTACAAAAAATCTTTTTCTGAACTTGTAAATAAAACAATTATTAGAGTACGTTTGACAAGAAAACACTATTTCAGTCTTTCTACTTGGAAATTTCACATTCAATATGCTACTTCTTATATGCTATTTCTTAGTAATTATTTATGAAATGCACTCCAATTTCTGAACTTTCAGTGTAGCTACATTGACATGCACACAAATAATTAGTTGGTAATTGAATTGGATGAAGTGCTGTTGTAACGTGTGGAATATGACTAAATGACATAGACCCGGTTTACACCTGGTATTAAGATACGCTTTCGTCAATCCGACCACAAGTGGATGGCACTAAAAATGACATATGTTAGGAATAAACTACATGCCTACACGAAATATGTTTCGGTTAATTAATTAGCAAATTAACAAAACAAAAGGTACAGAGAAAAAATAAATAAATTTGCCCTTTTTCCACTGTAAAAAGGGCAATATAAAAATGTAAATGTAAAACAATATAAAGTGGACAGAAGAGATGGATTAAAACAACCAATTGTGAACGGGAATGTGTCTCCCTCGTCTACTTGTGATCCGATCGACCAAAATGCATCTTAATACTAGGGATGCATTGATCCGATACTCATTACTCAGTCATTTTCTGCCGGATCGGGTATCGGTCAGACGAGATCGACACAAATCCGATATTGTGCGTATACTATTCTGTGTTTTTGTTAAGGCCTATGAAACCGATGCACCAAAAAGTTTTTGCACACTATATTTCAAGTGTTCTGAAGCTGTTCCATAGTTCAATGTGAGGTACAGATGAATATTTAAGTCGTTAAATACTGCACACGATCACTGGATCCACTTTCAAAGAGCATGTGTGAGCCACTGTCCTGAAACTTATTGACGTTTATGAAGCTCTGATGTTCACCTGACCTAACGTAAACTAACTCTGATTGCTAAGGTTACTGACACACCATGACAGTTACCTCAGCTTTCAAAACCAAACGTTGAGGTTAGCAGTTCCCTGTCGATACTACACTCGTACTGCGTCTGCTTAAGACTCTATGGGAAAAAGCCTTTTTTTCTCCTGAACTGAAGCCTTTTTCAATCACGCAGTGAAACTGCATGGCTATTGGTTCGTGCAGTATATAAAAAAACGAACCAATAGCTCGGCAGCAGAGCTGCATGAGCCTATGGCGACAAAGCCCACCAGAATGGTTAGAGCCATCTGGCTATATAAGCGGGTGTTGGCCACAGGATTCTCAGATTTCTTCTCCTTCAGCGACGACTAGGCTCTACACTGATCCGAAGCCTGTTCGCCGTTGACACG